ACTGGCTATAATAATGTCAGGACAGACAATTCCGTTTTCTGCTTCGATAAGTTTGTTGGGTGTTAAAATGGTCACCAATATATCTTGGCACAATCATGTTGCTGGAATTGCAAAGGCTGCTTCTCAAAAGCTTGAAACACTGTTCCGAACCAGAAAACTGTACACACCTTAGCAACTTTCGATGCTTTGTAAAACTCAGATAGACCTTCTTTCTAGTATTGTTCTCATGTATGGAGCTCTGCCCCCAAACATACCCTGAAGCTGCTGGATTCCATCCAGAAAAGAGCCATCTGCCTGATTGGAGACGCGAACATCACTTGCAACCTTGATAGTCTAGAACATCGAAGAGAGATTGGAGATTTGTCTCTCTTTAATAAATACTTTCACGGAAGGTGTTTAAGTGACTGGGCACATTTGATTACACTAAGAGCGGTACATATCAGAAAGAAGTGACGGACTGTGGCTGGCTGCTCATCGTTTTGAGGTTCAACTCAGTACAACTTGAACTTCACTACTTAAGAACTCTTTCATTTGGAGAACTTCGTGTAGATGGAATAAACTTCCTGAGACCGTTTTTCTAAATGAATTGAATCTCCAGTGATTCAAATCCAACGTGAATCGCTACTTTCGCTACTTTACAGCGCCTCAAGGATTTTTCTGTAGTGCTTGTGCTCTGACTTAAAAAAAGTAATCAATATATAGTAAGTAATAAGTTGAAAAAAGGCAAAAAATTAAAAATTGTATAGACTACAACATTCTGTATCGATCAGCATACACCACGACACAGTAGAAGTATGGGGCTTCAGGTACATAACATCGCTTCAATATCTACTACACTTGTAACATGTTGTTTATATTTTTCATCATTTTAAATATAAATGGCAGTTCCATCATGTAATTAATATATTTTTCTGCAGTAGGCTAGATCAGCATCAGGTAATTTGATTTTTCCTGTCATTCTCCATTCAGGGAGAAAAAAATATTAACTTGCAACTCTTTGATATCAATTATCTATAATATTCCATATCAAGATTGAAATAATGATGATGAATAATAACAATTCAGTTTCTTCTTACTCTGCTCTTTTGCAACACAAAGGACATATTTGAAATAATAGAATTCAAAAATAAAATCTCACCTTAAACACTCCATCCACAAAAAACTGCTTATAATCTTTGAAACACACAACAAAAACTTGCAGGTAAGCATCACTCAAATAAACAGAATGAATATATTCCTTTGAAGTAGCTGCTTTGTCGGCGAGTGCTATACTTCTCTTCCATACCTTCTGCATACTACCGCTCAAGATTTTGTTCTCATCCCCCTCCTCTCTCCAAACAGATCTGCTATCCAAATCTACTACAATCCCCTAAAAAATGAATACAAAAAATGGATTTTAATAATATATGTATAAACAAGTGTATGTGTATGTGATTTAAAAAAAATTACTCATATAAAGGTTGCCAAATTATACAAAGATCCTATCAAAACTACTACAGTTCTAATGATGAATTTGTATATTTTTAAAGATCCAGATTTCAAGTCTACAGAAATTGCAGAATTGAGGAATGTGTATAATCTTGAGGTTGTAATCGATGTACAAATATTATTTTCATGTTGGACTCACTAAAATGGTTATCAGTATAACAGAGATTATACATGACATCTATGATTTTCATTTTTAAAGTCTTGAATAAGTTGATGCCAGAATACTTTAATGATTTTATTGTCTTTAACCTATTCAATATGGCTATAATAAAAAAAAATATTGGTTGAAAATTACTATTGGGCTATATATGTCCCACTTAAAGTTTGTAGAATACTGTTAGCCTTTGAACGCATCATAAACCAGATTTGACACTGTCCCAACCGATCTGAGAGTACCGACAATCAATGTGCGGGCGTAAATCTTGACTTTACTAACCTATAACATCAGTTAACCTCATTATTTGTTTTGGTGCACAAGTGGTTTTTATTTAAGTGTAGTTTTATGATACAAAACGCACATTTTCACGACACATTTATATCAGGGAATGCTATAATGGCTAGGTAAGGCATATAACATACATATTTTTGATTTTAGTCCCTTTTGTTTACAAAATTTTTAGTTTACGGGTTTATGGGATACATATGTCCCATTCGTATTCTATTGTGGGCGTATTATGTCCCAGTAGTAATATCTGTACAGAGTGTTCATTTTTGTTTCAGAAAACGTTTGGATGAAAAACAACTAAATTTCATAGCTGAACATTTATCAGATGTGGAGTCACTTGAGGATCCATTCCAAGATAGCGGTTCCGAGTATATTGTCACTGTCTGAGCCTGACTCAGACAGTGAGTCAGATATTGAAAGACCCAGAAAATTTCGAATTCTTGAGAAAACTAATACCGGAAAACCGAATGATTTATATTACTCCAGCTCTTCCGAGAGTAATGAGAGTGATATATCTGACGTACATGTACCTGATGATAATTCTTCCCCCGTTCCACACAAGAAAGATCCTGTTCTCATTGGATGGAAGAAGTTAGCGAAGGTTTTGTTCCGCGCATGAAAATTCCAATTGATAAATCGTGTTTTGTCTTGGCAGATTTGAANTATTTTGCCTAGATGACCAGCTACTATTTCTTAGTTTGTAAAATTCTGTCAAGAAAGTAGCGTTAATAGATGATTTATTAGAAATAATTAATATTGAAAAAAAAAATAGTGCCGTATTTTTAAGAACTAAAACCTCTTGGGGCATATAAGACCCTTTAGTAGCGAAAGGGTTTTAAATCTCAAATTCTTGATCATCAAACAAGAGGAAATTCAGGACAACAACTTCACTTACCAAAATACAATCTCAGTCAGTCAATGAAATCATGATTTTGTAAGGGTTTGAAAGAATGCAATGAACTACCAAGTCACATAAAAGATGCGAAAACTATTAATGAATTTAAAACTATTTATGTTCACAGACCTATGTACATGTTAATAATATATTCTTTTGTTATATTTTTTCAATTGTGCGTATATAAGGATGAGTTTCTTATTCAATAAAGATTCATTTATTCACAGATATTTTAATCTCAGTAGATTTGGTAAGCTACACTCGAAAAAGAGGGCCACCATCGGAATGTCCTGAATGGTCGTCGTCGTGCATGCCAGGTGGGAAGCGTTCTGGTTGTTTGGAGGGGTATATGAGTGATGTGTTGTGTCTTGCTCAACTGGAGGCGTATTGATTATTGTTCCAGGTAATGCGTTTGCTGATGGTGATGTACTGGCTTTGGTTTTGGATATGATGGTTTTCTATGCAGCTGAGAGTTATTGGTACCATTAACTGATGAAGCTATATAGTAGCGAAACACATTTCAAATTATTTAATTGTTAAAATTCTATAATTATCATGGATGAATTTATTTTATTGAAACGTATCACGCCCATATATTCCAGAGAAGTTTGTCTAGTGTATGGATGATATAAATTTGGAGTTTTTTTGGCAGAAGGAATTCTTTGTTTTTTAAATAAAACAAGCTGTGAAATGTGAAGACATGGAAATGGAAGATTACTGTTACATTTTTCTCCATGGCTTTACCAATAATTGACTACACTGAACAATAATCAAACTAAACTTTATTTCACTTCAAATACAACAAACACTTCAAATGTCTATCGCCTTACTAGATCGCTTCGCATACCGCAGTGTAACTTCCACTTGACTGTCTCGATGGGCGAGTAGAAGGTGCTTATATTTGGAAAAGGAAAGCGCCGGAACATTCTTCAGAATTCCATCGAAGCCGGTAGCATTAGAACGGCAGCGAACATCGTACCTTCGCGCGCTCTTAGCTACGTCACAATTGGTTTATGGCTACCAGTGGCGGACATTACCAGATAAATATATTAGTTACCTTAGGCATTTCATGCACATAATAATTACCTACACCATTCTATTCAAATTAATATCTTAGGAATTACTGCAAAATTGAAATTATGGAGCGAAAAAATAAATTTAAGCGGTCTCACAAACCGATGTGGCATGCATAATTAAGAAAGGTTGAAATTACATTGGTTTGGGTTAAAAACGCTATTCAGTTTTCTGCTCCTCTTTCTTCATACAAAAAATTATCTCTCTTAAAAATATAACCCCTTTCAATTAACATTCGTTTTGTTTTATAACGTGAATCACCCCGTATCCGGGGATGGCGGAGCATATTCCAAAATTGACTATTGATCACGCTATATGATGGAGTGGAACTAAAAAATCATCACCAAGGAAACAGCTTTGTGAAAATGGATCTTACCTGGTTGCCACTAATAAGAATAGGGGTTGAAAACGAAAATATGAACCTTAACTGAATCCTCAAAAAACACCCAGTATAAGTATTCATGTAGAGTATCGCACATATTTGGACATTTCATTCTTTTGACGTATGTCGATTGTTTCTTTTTCTTTCGCAATTATTTTGACTTTATAATTTGATCACTAGACATTTTTGATTCATTGAACTGAACTCAATAAATACATATTTATCATAAAATAAGGCTACGGTTTAATAAATTATGAACTGAAAGGAGTACAAAAATATTCTTCGCATCATTGTCAATTGTTTCACGAAATTATTTATCTTAGTATTTCTCTTCTGATTTATAGAGCTTATGCATACTACCCCACTATGACAACGTGAATAATATCAATACTGTGAAATATATATTACTACATTTACTTATAATCGATTCTTTAAATCCAAGATTCAAAATTTCGCCCAGTTTGATCATCAGCTGAAACCAAAAAATCATTGGACCTATATTAAAAATTGATAACTCCGTGATTGTGAATAATTCTATAGATCAGCTGAAATTCATTTTTATTACTGGAATTGTAGATAACAAAAATACCCAATTCAATGTTCATTATCATAAATTTCTATTCTAATTTCATTGGAAGTGTGTTGGAATTTTCTAACCTATAAGCATTATTCGACTTCTCCATTTCCTTCTCAACCACTTTTATTTTTCTACGCAGACGGCCAGCACAGCAACAGGAGCTGGTTCATCTCAATCTGCAGCTGCTTTGGATCAATCCAGCTTCACACAATTTCCGTCAAATACACCAGAAGATAGTCAGATTCCTGGTAGGAGAACCCCTCTGGGAGCAGTGGGACTTGGCGGATTCTACTTTCAGGGATGCCAACCGAATATTGCTAGTCATGGACCACCTTCAGATGAAAACAATCCTGATCCAGGATGTTCTACACAGGGATCTAGGTACGTATGTCTGTAGAGTATTTGCATCGATGATCCATTGAATGATTGGGATTCCTTGGTGGAAAATGGAACTATTTGAGAAAATAAATGTTTCTGTTGAAGTTGAGATACTTTCTCTAATTACACGGATTATAGGAAGGCAAATAAGACAATTATCTGAACTCTAATAGTTTAAATGGAAGATCAAAACATGTTTTGTTGTGATTGATTTTTTTTTTCGTTTTTAAGGAGTCAAGATTTACGGCTGCAAAATCCTCAAAATCCTCAATCTTCTAAAGGCAAAAACCGCCAAGGAAAAACTGTTCGCCTGAACATAAATGCAAGAGAACGAAGAAGAATGCACGATTTGAATGATGCTTTGGATGAACTTAGGTATGTTATAATAAATATCTACCATATTATCTTTAAAAACTATACCACACGTAAAATGGGAAATACACTTGTTTAAAAGATATTTTTATGGGAATTGTTCTATCCGAACAACATGTACCATCCGAGTTCTTGGTGTCTTGATTCAAGGATTGGGGAAAACTCCAAAAGGCATCAGAAGCAATGAAATTATTGATAAAAAAGGGAAATATGTTTAATTCCCTTCGGAATGTAAAGTGTCGTAAAGGGTCGCAAATGAAACAAATGTTTCCACAAAAATCATAAATTTTTGTTGCTTTGCTTGTTTTTGTTATCAATGACGGACATTCAGACAAATAGGGGGTATAAAGTATACCATTCAGAAACTGTTAGGAGTAATTTTTGAGAAGCGAACTTTCACTAGCTTTCAGTCAGACAGAAAAAAAGTGTGAACCAATAAGCGGTACAATACTGGTAGACAGCCAAAGGCCGGAAAAAAGATATTCCTTCGCTTTGGGATCACTTGTTTCATGATTCTACTTATTTGTTTTTTATTTTCAAGCAAGGGTTCCACAGCCTACCATGTTGGGAAAGGTTTTGACACAATTACTTTTCAACAGTCACACAGCTTGTATTAAAGCAAGGTTTATTGTTAGGTTTTACTTTGGTGTATCTCCATGTCAATTGAAATGACGTCGGGTAAAGTCGTTGAAAAAATATATATTTTCACAAGGAAAATATGAGAGAAACAATAGACTATCTCAGTTGACTAAATTGTTATGTTAAACATTGCTTGATAGTAATATGTTGACCGTTATCAAAGCTTGGCTTTGCATTGACCGCGCCTTTGGTAGCTTTGTTTTTAAACGATATTCGTGGATTAAGTCATTGGTCAATCGTGTAGACAACGTCTCTGTAGAAGGAGACATCCGTCCTTGCCTTTCAAAGAAAATTGAGTCCAACAATGCATTCGTGGTTCCATCATGACGGGTCGAAACAACATTGTCTGTGTTGTTTGTCTTGTATCAAAGTCACGCCAAAAATCATTGCAATCATGATTCAATACCATAGAATGTTGTTTCTGCAGTAGGTAGTACTAAAATGGGGAAAGAATGCAAACTTCAAACTCTTCTATCTTTGCCAGGACAATACTTAATAATATGATACTGAGGTCTCCTCTCACAACAATTGGAGGAGAAATCGTGACAATTAATTTCGGTATCTCCCATGCTAAGCAAAATATCGAGAAATTGCTCTTTTCGCGAAATCGCAGTAGGCAGGGTTTAGGGCTGTTACTCATGCTAAGTATTTCGAAAAGTGCGGCCCATGAAGGTTTATGCCTCTACAAAAAATCAAGTGTCTGCTTTCAAAAATGACTAAAATACAGGGGTGTCTTTATCTTCAGTGTGTCGCACTGTATATACAAACTCCAACATACAATATGGAAATAATATGGAATATAGATATATCGTTGATATGAATTAATATTATAACTTCATAGGTCCGTCATCCCATACGCCCATTCTCCGTCTGTGCGTAAGCTGTCCAAAATTGCAACCCTTCTTCTAGCCAAAAATTACATACTCATGCAAGCCAATGCTTTGGAAGAAATGAAGAGGCTCATCGCTTACCTCCAAGGAACTGCAGGTGCTGCAGTAGGGGCAGCAATAGTCGCACCTCCTGGATTCGACCTTCAAGGATTTCCTGCCGCTGCGAAGTTCCTACAGCAGCAACAAACCTTACAGGCCGAAATATCTAGGAATAATGGGGGGAATGGAAGTGGGTCAGGTTCTATGTGAAATAATTCATTAAGAAAAAATCATTGTATTGGTAGTAAATTGAAATGAACTCATTCCTGCCCAACAGGATACATAATTATACCTCACTAAGCAAAAATACAACTATAACTGGTAATATGATAAATACGAGAACACTAACACTACCGAAATCTATTTGGTTTTGATGTCATTTACTTCATACAATGATAATACTGGATGATATGTACTTGATACTGCCAAAGCTGTTATTCGGTTTGTTGGTCATGGTCTGCAGGTTTTATACGTGACGTGTCCTCTACAACTACGATAGATATTATCAAAAGAGATTAGGGTCTTGTTGTTCTTAAAGCATGCATTATAGAAGTATTTCAAGTGGGATGGTTTTCTATGAACAAACAGATGGGTCCGCAATGGGTTCAGTGGTGGCAAACTTTTTCATAAAAAATTTGTGCCATTGTTGGCTGCGTTACATTAATGGCAGGTTCGTGGTATGGCACTACGGTGAGTAGCAACTGAATAAGTTTCTTGCATATCGGAACCCCACCAACTCGAAAATTCAATTCATAATAGAAGCCCAAGCAACCATCGCCTTTTCAGATGTACCAGTAAACAGACTTGAAGATAATAGGGCTTTAGGTCGTGAACTGTAAAGGAAACCAACCATTAACGAAAAGGAGGGTAACAAAAATTTTCCTTGAGACAGCCCACCGGATCGGAGTGTGAGAAGCAACTAAATAAGTTTCTTGCATATCTGAACCCCACCAACTCGAAAATTCAATTCACAATAGAAACCCAAGCAACCATCGCCTTTTCAGATGTACCAGTAAACAGACGTGAAGATAATAGGGCATTTGGTCGTGAACGGTTAAGGAAACCAACTACCAACCACGAACGAAAAGACTAGTAACAAAAACTTCCCTTGAGACAGCCCACCGGAAGTGTCCCCGAGCAACTCAATTTTTCGAAAAACGCAGAAGTGTGTATAGCGAAACTGATTTCGATCGCGCGATAGCTTTAGAAAAAAAAATTCCTTCACCTCTCCCAATAGTCACTCCTGTCAATGAAAGAGCTTTCTGAATGTTATCGACTGAATCAAAGGAGTTCTAGAGAAACACAACGTAAACTCTGTATTCACGCCAACTAAAACCATCGGAGAGATTCTAACGTCAACTAACAACACCATAGGGCCTTCAGCAACACCAGTGGTTTACTGAATTCCTTGTAGCTCTGGATCAGTTTACATCAGAAACACGAAAAGAAACGGAAAGTAGCGGAAGCGCTTAGAGAAGGTTCCGCGTTATCGCGTTTGAAGAGACTCATGTCCTCGAATCTCAGAGTTACTATTCAATAACAACAGGAAGGCGATAGAAATTCAGAGGCACAAAAACATTTTTACCCGAAACAACATCAATAAAATCTGGCTACCTGCAATCAGTTGCTCTCGTATCAAGTCATTCAATTCAACCAAAAGGAAATGAGTCATGAACACCAGCAATGGAATACATTCGGGAATCCGAACCAATTCTGTAGTATTTGCTTTAAGGACAACCAGAACACTTCGTCCGTCTTTTGTAGTATCCACTGTAGTCCTAGACGAAAAGCATAAAACCTGCAGAACACCTCAAAATAGCCTGGAAAATAGCTTTGACACAGTCTTGTTAGGTATGATATTTACTCGTATGTTATAATAAATTTGTTCATGTTAAATTCATTCACAACTGGTTAGGCGAATTCATAATAAGCAACTCATATCCGAATTGGAATCTATTTTATTCAGTTTGCGATGCCTAAGCAGACATGCGATTTGTCATATATACCATTAGGAAACATGACTGGGAAATAATGATCTGAAATCTTAACTGATTCTGTTTTCAAAATATTTATTGTGTTGATGGTGAATACACTCGTGCATTTTATTGATTATATGAATTGTGAGTTGCTGGGTAATGTTAACTGTTCTTTTTATGATGTATATCTAACTAGGGCATGACATTTATGCCTTGAAATGATGACACAAAATTCCATAAAACAATTTTTAGTCTTCTAGTAGTTTTAACATAGCTCAGTACACTATTAAATATGGACATACTTTTCTGTTACTAGTTACAAAGTATTCTTTGATGAAAGGTTTTGGGAAAATATAGTATTAGCTGTTGAAATATAAATTGTCACTTTTTTTATAAACTGGTACTGGTTTATGTCGATGAAAAATAACGAAAATAATGTATCAAAAACGAACTGGAACTCACCCAGATGAACTATCTCCTTGTTGAAAATTAATGATTATTCACTTTGAAAAAAGTCAGATCTCAGAAACTCAGACATCGTTGCTAGGAGAACTGAGAACCTTTCGGAAACGGAACTGATTGGAAAGCTCCGAAGAAAAAAATTATTGTTGAATAATACAATTCAAGACAAATATGTCATCATCCGAAATCGGAAAAAAGTTATTTAAGTAAGTAGTAGAAAAATTGACAGGGTAGTCGATTTGTTTTTCTACCCGCAGCACCGTCACTTCAACCCTTTCGTGTTATTTAACCCTTTCAATACGGCTATAAATAAAAAATATTGGTTGAAAATTACTATTGGGCTATATATGTTCCATTAAAAGCTTGTGGAATACTGTTAGCCTTTGAACGCATCATATAATAATTCCACGTTCAACCTATAGTGAATAGGTATTTCCAGCCACAGATATTAGTACGGGTGCTAATAATTTCGTATCCCAACCACAGATTTTTATTTTCCTCTACGTCAGCATGTGTGGCCAGAAATCTGTGGATAACTTCACGCCAATGAATATTCCAAAGATCATCAGGCATCTATCATTGTTTGACTTACTTTGTTTGATGGACAAAGTTGAGTATTTAAAAGTCTAAAAATGAAGTATTATATTGTATGGCGGCAACACTGTACACTGGACGCCATGCCGATATATCAGAGAAAAATTGGAGGGGCTGGGATTTAATCAAATAGGTGAATGAATGTCATTACGATGTCATCGATGACATAAGTAGATCAAACTCATTCCATGACATAAAAAATCGTAACTCATGAATGAACTGTGTGTATTTTCTATAATGTTATCCAGATGGATACTGGAGACCTCTAAGGCAAGTGTCTTAGGGCGAAACATCGGTGTCTGCCAGTGAGGATGACAGTGTTTCATGTAAGTGCAATTTGATACCATTCACTTAACCCTTTCAATAGGGCTATAATGAAAAAATATGGGTTGAAAATTACTATTGGGCTATATATGTCCCACTAAAAGTTAGTAGAATATTATTAGCCTTTGAACGCATCATAAACCAGATTTGACACTGTACCAACCGTTCTGAGAGTACCGACAATCAATGTGCGCGCGCAAAACTCGATTTTCCTAACCTATAACATCAGTTAACCTCATTATTTGTTTTGGTGCACAGGTGGTTTTTATTTAAGTGCAGTTTTATGATATAAAACGCACATGTTCACGACAAATTTATATCAGGGAGTGCTATAATGGCTAGGTAAGGCATGTAACATATATATTTTTGATCTTAGTTCCTTTTGTTTACAGAATTTTCAGTTTACGGGTTTATGGGATACATATGTCCCATTTGTATTCTATTGTGGGCGTATTATGTCCCAGTAGTAATATCTGTACAGAGTGCTCATTTTTGTTTCAGAAAACGTTTAGATGAAAAACAACTAAATTTCATAGCTGAACATTTATCAGATGTGTAGTCACTTGAGGATCCATTCCAAGATAGCGGTTCCGAGTATATTGAGTCGGAGCCTGACTCAGACAGTGAGTCAGATATTGAAAGACCCAGAAAATTTCGAATTCTCGAGAAAACTAACACCGGAAACCAAATAATTCATATTACTCCAGCTCTTCCGAAAGTAATGGGAGTGATATATCTGACGTACATGTACCTGATGATAATTTTTCCCCCGTTCCACACAAGAAAGATCCTGTTCTCATTGGATGGAAAGAAGTTAGCGAAGGTTTTGTTTCGCGCATGAAAATTCCAATTGATAAATCGTGTTTTGTCTTGGCAGATTTGAACCGTGGGTCATCCGAGTTGAATATTTTCATGAAATTGTTTCCAAATAGTTTATTCAAGTACATTGCTCAGTGCACAAATGAGCGCTTGGAAATTGCGAATAAAGCTAGTAATAATCTACATAAAAAATGCACATGAAATAAAAATTGTCATAGGTTGTCTTTTTATTATGGCATATAATAAAGTTACTTCAATGCATCATTATTGGTCTACGAATGAATCTTTAGACAATGAAGCTATAAAACAGGTCATTTCCAGAGACAGATTTCAGCTTCTAGTAAGCAAACTATATTTTATCTCTTCGAATAAACCAGAAAACTGTTGCAAACTTTATTACATTGAAGATGTGGTTAATTGTCTGAAAAGTACATTCCTCAAGTCAAGAACAGAATCTACGCACCAATCTATTGACGAATCAATGACCAAATTCAAAGGCAGATCAGCTTTGAAACAATATCTACCATTGAAACCGATGAAACGTGGTATAAAAATTTGCCTACGTTGTGATGCAAAATCAGGCTATGTTTACGATTCCAACATTTGTTGTGGAAAAGAAAATGAACCAGCTGATGGAACTCTAGGCGAACGAGTTGTAAAGAAACTTATTTCAACTGTAAAAGGTCCAGAAGTGTCCTTTTGTTTTGACCGATTTTTTACTTCTGTGAATCTAATATTTTGCCTAGATGACCAGCTACTATTTCTTAGTTTGTAAAATTCTGTCAAGAAAGTAGCGTTAATAGATGATTCATTAGAAATAATTAATATTGAAAAAAAAAATAGTGCCGTATTTTTAAGAACTAAAACCTCATGGGACATATAAGACCCTTTAGTAGCGAAAGGGTTAAATGGGCTTGCCCGTAAATAAATACATGAAAAAGAAGGTTCATAGAAAAGCGTCTTTTCCTAAGTATTTTTCATATGAAACTAAATAGATATAATTGTCATTTTACCTACCCAAAGGTGAATTAGGGAGTGACCTAACTCTTTCTATCACATCTCCAGCCACTAACTGCAAATCATCTATATTGATTGAATCTAATTCGTCTGTGGGGGCTTCCAAGAAATTTGCTACCTTGTCTGAGTAGCTCATTGTTTCAACAATCCTAAAAAATTACACTTTTTTAAACACTACTATTTGAGAAATAAACATTCAATAACTCATGATGCACTGTTTGGAACCTTTGGTGTAGTAATGATTATTACTTGAGTTTTATTTCTCAACACCTTTAACACCTCAACATGTGTTTCGACCACCAAGTGATCATCTTCAAGAGGAAGATTAATCAGTGATCATCTTCAAGGGGAAGATTAAACAGTTTGATCTTCCTTTTGAAGATGATCACTTGGTGATCGAAATACGTGTTGAGGTGTTAAAATAACGGTTTGGTGTTGGGGAAAAACTCAATGAGAGAAGTATTTACGAGTTCTACAGTTTATTGTGCACACAACTTAAGACATTTTGAACACAAACAATAAACTTGTATATGTTTAAAACCACTACAATAAAATACAATTTGATTTTCCACAGATTAATAGATGCATGTTAATGGCTTCGTCAAGATTTAGTAAATCTACTTAACGACATACTATCTTTGATTTCTTAGATAAATAGACAGACACTTGAGGTAATCTATTGAAAATTCAAATTCCCATTCCCTCTGGAGAATTATAGTTCACTTTCAACTTCGAAAATGGAGCATATAAGTTACTTTTATGTCTAGTCTTCATATTGGTAATGTCGTGGACTGTTCCGAATTTCGACTTATTTTGAAATTTATTACGTACTAACCTCAAAAATGTACGTAAAAATTAAAGGCATTATTTCAAATTCCACAAATCTGTTTCTGCAAGAATGTAGCTCAGAACTTATGCAATACTTCTGATGTTTTTTACGAAATAGAAATATCTTGAGCAAGTGTAGATGAACCCTGACATATTCCGTATCGAATACAGGAATCAATATAAGTAAAATACATACTTAACGGCTGCATCTTAGCAAGAATTTTACTAATGTTTCTGAACAAATATGTGAAAGAGGAAAATTTTGATATGAGTGTTTCACATGATTTTTCTTCGTATGACATTTATCAACTTGCACACTCAATATATTTACTGAAGTAGGCGAACTACTAATAGAATATTCTGCGGCAAAAGTCGGAGAATGACAATTTTTTATCTGAGAATAAAATCTTAATATTTGGGTTTCGTCATAGTTAAAGACCATATCCTGTAATAGGTAGTTGCTTTTTGTTATTTTCACTTCATTCCGATAAGATAAGGGTAAAGTCGTCGGCATATGCCACATAGTCATTAGTAATATTACTTATACTGCTGATATTTTACCAGTTGAAAATAAAATGAAATTAAGACAGTGTTACATTGGAAATCGTTCCGATCACTTTGTGTGATTCCAAATGTATTCAAAAAATCTGCGAGTCTGTTCACTAAGGCATGTTCAAAAAAATCTGAAATCCACTAGGAATTTTGTTGTGTCTATGGCTATCACATGAAAGAGCATCTTCATTTTTTCTCAATACCTTTTTCTTATTAATTCAACATAAGATGCTATATTTATAAGTAACTATGTTGAGAAATGGAATGTGTCAGACCTGGGGAGCACTGACACCAATGAAAGAGAGAAGTTTACCTGGTAAAACACACAAGAAAACTTTTATAAAGACCATATTAATAGTTCTACTAATTGGACACTGTCCTGTGGGAGGACACCTGAACAAAATAGAGCTGTACAACTGAGCCCTTAGTTGAAGGCAATGCAACAAAGGGACATAGACAGCTAGTCATATTTTATGGATTATAGAAGACAGTACCCAAGAAGTAGGAAAAAATTTCGTATCTGATACGTTATTTTGTGAACAATTCATATCTTGGCTACATCTGGTCACAAAAATAATGATTTTTTACCGGTATTTTATAAAAGTAACTTTAGCAGTAACAGTAGGGCAGGGTCTTTTTTCAAGCAAAAAAAAAGTAGCTGCAACTTAAGGTGTGGGCTCATCTAAGTAAAATATAATTTAATCAGCATATGATGAAGTTGAGATTAACAAAACTCACGAATGAAGTTCGTCAACATATTTGGCCATAGACTCTTCTTTAGACATTCCTTGAAGGGCCTTCCATGCATCATACTTGGCTCTTCCAACAACATCCCAAAATGCTGGCCGAGAACCTTGACAATCCCCAAGAGTACCTTGCTTGAAGTAAGCATAAAACCTCAACATCAACTCATTGCTGGGCTGATAGGATCCTGCAAATATTTTTTTATAAATATATCTTAAAAATGAAGATTCATTTGCTAAACTGCAAGAAAAAGTTGCCTGTTTGTGAATGTGTTCTTCATTCATTTTGTTTATTTTACAATTTTCCAATGTTTCTAGATGAATTTTTTCCACTAAAATACTATAAGTAATTGATGTCCGTGGACTTGATATATGAAACAATCTTTTTCAATAAATTTCAACCGATATTATCAAATAATATTTTCAAATTTTTAATAGTATAATAATGTATATTATTTTTCGCCACTTAACATGGATTGAAAAACATTTAGGTATTCCTGACAACTGCCTATCTTTACCCAGCTTGTTAGGTGGCATGAAGGACCAAAGTAAAGTTTAACGTAATGACTATTATAGCTTTTACAAGGAATTAACATTTTAAGTATAATACAATATAATACAGGGTAAAATGAGAAATTTACAATCATAATCATACTAATCTCTTTTAGCAAGAAGTACTGAAGTACAACATCTTAAAAACTTTTCTTGGACACATTCAATTTACATAACATAGCAGTCATATTGTAGAGATCAGACACCACAACCCTAGTCAAGAATCAATCTCACATGTGAGCAGTAAATTATTTTCATAGCCTTGCAGCTAAAATTCACATATTCTAAAGGACAATTACATTTTTTAAGATTTCGCTGTAATTTTATTCAATGTTGGGAAAATCTCCCTGTTATCAAATTTTACACCCAGGTGTCTAAATTAATTTACAGATAACTGATTCTTCTTATAAGAACAAGGAAATACTTTTAACTGCTTTTTTCCATATTGAATAAAATGAAATATGAGATATGTGGTTGTGTTGAAATTCTTTGAATCAATCTTACTTAGACTACCTCGAGTGAACTACACTAAAACAATGAAGCAGACTGACTATCTACCAATTAAACTATATAACCTTATACCGGTGGATTGGAAGACATTCACTACAAAAAAATTGAAACACTACTTGAAACAATCACTTCTTGTAAATCCACTTTATAATATTGAAGATATTTTTTCCATATATGGACTTAATATTAAGTACTGTCTATTTAACGTACTACCTTACATAAAACCTAGTTTCTAGGATCATCGCATTTTTACAGTATTCACTACTTCTATTTCTACATAGCTTTTCAAATTTTATATACATTTTAATATCTACACCTCAGTCTTGACGCACCTACACATTTATGTTGTGAATTTATCTCATAAACATTTTTGTAATTTTTAAAGGTCAATAAACATCTTATCTTATCTTACAAAATAGGCTATAAGTGACTAAAATAGTAGAGTCCGTATAAGATGAAATTCAAAATGATATCGAAGTATCCCAACACAGTGTGCTGGGAGCATTAATATTAATTATATAGATGATATGAATTACATCAATGATTTTGGTTTCATTAATTTGTAAGCTACATTTTTGACATTTTTTATGATTCTATAGAGGTTTTATAATTTTTAATACTTTTTATCCTTAGGGGTAGAATATTACAAATTTTTGGTAGTGTGTAAGTTAAAAAGCGATGACAGATATTTTTATTGAAATTTGGAGTGGGTAGCATTTCGTTTGTTGTACTTCTAGTAATATAAACAGTGGGAACAATAATTATGAAATATTTTGTTTTTAAATACATACATACATAAACTATGAAAGTATAATGTTCGAATATTACTAAGACTGGTGTGATATGATATTTTTTTCTTCAAGATTATTTTCAGGATATAGTTCTGTATTACGTTCAGCGTTTGCAAGGAACTTTTATACATTGCTCCCCACACCAGAATACCATAAAGAAAAAGTGATTCAGCTAGAAATTTGTAAATTAATATGAGTAAATTTTTTTATAGAAACTTTTGTAGCTGATGAAATTTATATATTAGCTTCCTCATTTTTTTCTGTCAGATAGTCAACATGATTGTTCCATTTTTAATTATTGTCAATAATTATGCCCAAATACTTAAATTCGTACATTCCTTTGATTTCCTCCCTCACACCTGGAACTTCAATATTAGAGTTCTGATGTTATAGAGAAAGCAAGATACTGGGTTTTAATAGCGTTTAATGAAAGATGATACATTATTTTCATTGAAAATAACAACCGTATCATCAGCATATAATATAATTTTTGCTTTTACTTTCAAACAGAGTAGAGAATTTATGTAGGTTTGAAAAAGTATTGGACCAAAAACGGTTCCTTGAGGAACCCTTGTTGTTATGGTCATAGTTTCACTTAATGTATCGTAAATTTTAACACATTGTTCCCGATCAGTCAAATAATTGCGAAAGACATCCAACACTGCTCCACGCACACCAAAGCGCTCCAGTACGTTAAGAAGTATTTCATGATCAACAGTGTCAAATTCCTTTGCCAAGTCTAGAGACACTGCGATACATTTTTTGTTTTCATCAAGTCCCTGTGTTATACTCCTGATTACATTATACATAGCATAAGTAATAATAATAATATCATTTATTGCCCAACAGGTAACACCCAATTACAGGACATAATTAAATACATCAGTACTGATAATAGATAAAATAAATTAACAAATCATCTTCATTCTTGACATGCTATATGAATATAACATAACAATGATATATAACTTCGAATAGAAAACAAAAGAAAGAAAACTAAAACAAAAGAAAGAAAACTAAAACAAAATAAAAAAAACTGATAGTATAACTATTCCATCACAAAAACCATACTGGTAATCATGTATAATTTTATTTTTGTCAAGAAATTCTACTATTTTCCACATTTATCAAAGATCTTACCAAAACTGTTCATTACGCTGATAGGTCTGTAATTACTAATTGTAGTTTTGTCACCAGTTTCAGAGATTGGTGTGATCATAGAAGATTTGAACTGAGTTGGTATATGTCCTTTTGGATGATCAAATTGAATAAATATTTAAGAGGTTGCAGAATATATTGGTGGCTCTGTTTAATTACTTCAGTAGTTACTCCATCTACACCAGGGGGAAGTGTTATTTTTTAATGTAGATATATGCTCTATCAATTCATTTTCTGTTATTGGGTTGAGAAACATGGAATTGGGATTTATTTCAATATTTTCATTAATTGTTAATGTAGTATCAATGTCTTTAACCATTTTCAAGCCGACATTACTAAAATAATTATTACAATAATTTGCCATTAAGTTGTTATCACAAAACATACCATTTTCATCAACGATCTGTAAGATATTTTTGTTATTGTTTTTATCATTGGTAGCTTTTGATATTAGTTAGTTTTTTTAGGATTATTTTTACTGTTTTCAATAATAGTTATTTTTATTTAACGTGTTTCGATCACCAAGCGATCATCTTTAAGAGGAAGATAAAATTAGAAACTACTCAAAATTAAAGCTATTTATGCTATTCAGGTACATCATACAGGTAGGTTATCAGTAATACCACCCATACAAGTGTACCACCCTAAATTAATTTTACAATTGGCCTTTCTACTATTTTACAATATGTCCTACTGAGTAGGACATCATCATCGTTTCTATTAAAATCACCATTATTATGTATTGTTGTATAACCTGGTATATTGAGGTTACTTAAAGATACATTTCTAAAGCATTGACTTAAAACAAAAATGTCACGAGTTAAATTATATGTTTCAATGAGTGCCAGGAATTCATCAAAGTTTTTGTTAGCACTTCGAATATTACTTAAATGAAATGAATAAAAAGACTCAAGTGATCATGAGTTACCATAAACAAGTCATCAATCACACATACTTCGAATATTGAAGTGTGTAATGTTTGTTGAGCAGTTAATGTTTTGACAATATAAAATTTTCAGGTTCTACATATTCCCCCAGATGGTCTTGTTCTAGTAATCTCAAATTTTCTAAGATAGTATCTTGATCCACTAGTACCATTAACTACTGTAGTCAATTTTACTTTTTGTCAGGTTGATATGGAACTGAAGAGTTGGACAAGTAATGCCTGTCGACTGATGATCAACATTATTTTACAGTTTGTACTTATCATTAGATTTGATACAATTGGTATTTTTTTTTATTTTTGAACAGTATTTTTGTTCATGCTCTTCATTACATGAGGGACAGATCAGTTTATAAGGACAATTTTGTTTTTTATGATAGAATTCTTGACACTGGAAACTGTAAGAACTGTATGATCTTCAAAAACTGAATAGCGTTCCCAACCGATAAATACCTTTTTCAGTCGCATTAGTTGTCTAAAAGATGAAGGTGAGCATTCTCCAAAGATTGTTGACTGGTTATCTCTTCCTTTTTAATAAATTTTATCTTGATTTCGTCTAGGGCTTCGTTTTGTTGTAAAATTGAGGTTTCAATTTCTTCTTTCGATAGATTTTGTTGAAACATGGATATTTTAACCCTTGGTTTATTCATTTTTGATGTTTCAATATTATATCTATTCTCTATTTTATTTTTAACTTCTTTCTCCATAATTTCAGATTCTATCTTGTTTTTGCATTTGATAACAATTGAGACAAATGTCATTGATTTCATACTTCTAATGCCAATTTTTAAATTGGATGGTGTTGTATATGTTCATTTATATTTTACACTGATAGGTCATATTTTACCGATGTGTGTAGACAGTGAAGTCTGTCATTCTATTATCACTTTTGTCATATGCATTTTTGTAATAAAGTATTACGTATTTCTTAACAAGAATTTACATATACAATAGTGGCGACGAGGACGGGATAGAATAAAATGGATTCTGAACAATTCAGTATCCTGATTAAGACTCTTACGGAATCATTACAATATTCACAAAAATCCAGTTCCCCAGAAGTTATTTCTTTAGAACCTTTTTGAGAAGAAACGGAAACGTGGGACATTTTCATCAAGAGACTAGAGAATTTTTTCAATATGAAAAATTTCACGGGTACCTTGGCAGAGATTGACAATAAGAAGAAAGAATGGTTGATACATTCCATGGGTACAAAAACATTACAACTTCTATA